CCGCAGCCCATTCCGCAGGCGCAGCCCGTGGGCTTGTAGTCTGTGGGGGAGAGGTGGGGAGGGTTACTGGGGCAGGATGGGAGTTGTGGGGCCCTGTGCTCCTCCCCCACACCCAGGGCATGTCCCTGTGGCGCCAAGCTCCTGAGTACACGAGAGGGGCCGCGGAGGCCGTCCAGGGCCTGGCCGAGGGGTCCCTGCTCCGCACATCCGCTGCCCCAGGGACTCAGGAGTCATGCGAACCCTTGCTCCAGGCAGCGGGCAACACATGCAGGAGGCCCCGCCCAGGCAGGCTGGTGATCCACCCCGTCCCAGCTCCACACCCAGCCAGGGTGCCCAGGGGGCTCAGTGCTCCAGGCCCCCCCTTGGCCTGCAGGGCACCCAGGAAAGTGCTCTTACCTGTTGGGCAGGTGACAAGGGCCCCACGCGCCGAGACATCCTGGCAGAGGAGCTTGGCTTTGGCCAGGGTGGTGGACACTGCAAGGCAAGAGGCAGAGCTGTGGGAGCTGCCCCGTTCCCCCAGGGGGTCCAGTCACACGCTGGCTGGGAGCCCGGCTGGACTATGCAGTGAGAGAGCTGACCCGGGTGGGTCATCAGGTGCAGGGCTCAAACCTGGGACCCCCGGAGCCTCTTCTGCTCCCCCCAAAGCCCCAAGCCACCAGCTCAGAGGTGGCAGCAGAAACCACGTGAGCCATGGACACAGCGTGGGGCACAGAGAATGCTGCTCTGTCCGCGTGCAGCGTCGCCAGGGACTCCCAAAAGCCAAAGCTGAGGGGGCTGGGGAGACAGGTGCAGCAGAGTGTCAAGGAGCCGGTTAGAAGGAAAATGGCAGCTTGGGCAGCTCCCGGCACACGGCGCATTGTGGAGCCAGCTCCCCCGCCCAGGCTGGGGCTCGGAGCAGAGCTGCACCTTTCGCTGCAAAGTCCCATCCCTGGGAGAGGCGCCCACGGGTGCCCCGGACAGTTACCTATGGAGCTAATCGCCGCCTGCACCTTCAGATCCACCACGTTGTCAATGATACACTGAGCCCCCGCGTGCCATGCGGGCACCAGGAGGGCGAGCAGCAGGAACACGGCAGCCTTCATCACGCTGGGCAGAGCCACCTGCGGGCAGAGACCCGGCCAGCGCATGAGCCCCAGGGCAGGCACCGAGCAGCCAGCAGGCAGCAGAGGGGCACAGGCCCAAGGGAAACTGTAGTGCCAGGGAAGGGGGGTGAGAATTGGGGGAGGCGGGGCAGGCAGGCCCAAGGGTGCAGGGCATGTGGGAGGCTGGAAGGGCTACAGAGGGGAGGGGAATGTAACAGGAGAAAAGAGGAAGGGTTTGGGCAGGAGACTGACAGGGGTGGGTGAGTGAGAGGCAGGCAGGATGGAAAGGGGGGTTTTTGGGGAGGGCTGGAATGGCACCCCCATCCTTACAGTGCCAGCGGGGACCGTGTGCATGTTCACGCACATACCCTGGAGGGGGTTCCCATGAAAGGTTTACACCTTTTGAATTAGCTCCTTAGAGATCTTCCCCCCAACCCTTCCCAAAACATTGAAGTCCTCCCCACAGTGTCTCGTCTCTGCTCCGTGCTGCAGCTATTTCGCCCTGGGCAGGACTGTAAACTAGCCTGGTGAAAGCCATGCCGTGCTCAAAGGGAACCACCATTTGCTAAGGGACCGATTTCAACTAAACTGACATGCACCGTTTTCCCACAAAGGTAAAGACCCAGCTAGTTTGCACCGCGCCCGCCTGAGGTGATGCAGCTATAAAGCATTTGAGAGACCAGTTTTCAGTCATCAATACTGTGAAACTGGTGTAAAACTGGGTTTAGCCCAGCCCTGAACAGGTTTAAAACCAAATGTGCATTGATACATTTTACAGGTATCCGTTTTCAAGTGACTTAGGATTCTAACTCCAAGGCTACATCTACACTGGCGCCTTCTCCGGAATAGGCATGCTAATTTAGAACTTTGGAATAGGGAAATCCGTGGGGGATTTAAATATCCCCCGCGGGATTTAAATCAACATGGCCGCCGCTTTTTTTCCGGCTTGGAAAAGAGCATCCAGACTGGCGCGATCCTCCGGAATAAAGCCCTATTCAAGAGCGTCCAGAAAGTAGGAATAAGAGATCCTCCGGAATAGGGCTTTATTCCGGAGGATCGCGCCAGTCTGGACGCTCTTTTCCGGCTTTTCCCCAAGCCGGAAAAAAAGCGGCGGCCATGTTGATTTAAATCCCGCAGGGGATATTTAAATCCCCCGCGGATTTCCCTATTCCAAAGTTCTAAATTAGCATGGCTATTCCAGAGAAGGGGCCAGTGTAGACGTAGCCCAATTGACTTTCAATGAGATGAGGCTCCTAAAGGCCAGATGGCCAAAGGCATTAAGCATCTGGAGCTGCACATAGGCACCTCACCCTGGCTCCTGGATCCCTTAGTTGCTCTTTTAAACTTTCTCCGGAGCCGATTCCTGGCTAAACGGACAAGAGTTCCATTCCCACTGGATTAAGAACCTCCCCACCGTGCTTGGAACCAGATTAACTCCATCGGTTTTGAGAGCCGCTGACAGTCCCACCACAGCCATGCTGGTTACGTCACAGGGAGCTGGGTACACCCATGGGAGCTGGGTACAAACAGCAGTCGTTCCGCACAACCTGTCCCACAGCCCTGGAGAATCCCACCCGTCCAATGGAGCAAACTCACCTTCCGGTGCAACCTTGCAAGATTCTGCTCCCCACTTCACAAGCTGCCCTGTTAAATAGGAGCCTCCTGGGGGTGAGGTGGCAAAATCTGCCGCCCCATTGGCTGCTTCTCCAGGTTGCTCGTTGACTCCCCCGGCCCACAATTGTGGGGAAACTCCAGGGCTGTGCCTGACAAAGAACATTTCTTTTGCAACTTCCCTGTTTGCTCAGCCCCTTGCCAGGTGCTCAGTGCCAGGGTCAAAATCTCCCCTGGTGTAACTCCAGGATCTTGGCTGCGTTACGCCAGCATGGGCTCTGTCTCCAAGGGCCTGGCCAGCCTGGGGCTCCCCCGGGTGGGAATTCCCCAGGCTTGTAAAGGGGCACCTGGAAGGCAGGACTGCCCTGGGTTTGGAGATTAAGAGACAAAGGGGAGGCTGTGCTGCAGCTGGAGGTGCAATTAATTTGCTGTCAGGAGCACAGTAAAAACAGCAGCACAGCAAGGGAGGGGCAGCGGGTGAGAGGGCCCCGTGCGGATACGCTGGGTCCCGGACAGGATCATATTTGCCTGGCCAGCCCATCTCACCTCCCAGGCTCTTGGCCAGGGAGCTCAGTCGGTCCCTGCACTGGCTGCGTGTGGAGGGAGCTGGCAGAGATGGGACGTGGCATCGGCAGGAATCGGCACCGTGTGGCACTGGGTAGGGAGGGCAGATGAAATCAGCGCCCAGCATTCTGCGCTCCCTCCCAGTGCTGGCCTGAGCTCCAGCCAGAGGGACCCACAGAACAGCCTGTTTGTGCAGCACAGGCCGCCAGACGTCACCCAGTGTCCCTCATGGTCACATCCAGGTGCCACCGGGGCCCTCGCAAGGCAGGGAAGAGGCCCGAGAGTCCCAGCAGCGACCCACGCTCCAGGCTGCAGGAGAAGCAAAGCCCCAAGGTCCCTGCCAAGCCCTTGGGGGAGCTTCCTTCACAACCCTGAACGTGGGAGCAAGAGCCACCAGCCATGGACTGTGGTGCCGCCCTCCCAACCCTGCGGGTTTCAGCCTCGAGGACTCACTGCACGAATCATAGATGGTCCCCCAGTAGCAACTAGCCTCACCTAGCCCCAGAGAACTGGCAGTCCAAAGAGATAAAAGGCTAGAGGGTAAACTGAGGCAGAGAGCGGGGAAGTGACTGGTGCAAGGTCACCCAGCAGGGAAGAGGCACGACAGGGAACAGAGTCCCAACCACTAGACCACACTGTCTCCAGACAGGGAAAGGAAAGATGAGGCAGGGCCTTCCACAGGTCACATGGGCAGGTATTGCCAGCCTGACAGAGGGTGTCTAGTTACTGCTGTTCTTGCTGTTAAACAAATAGCCCCGAGAGGTAAGATCGAAGTGTGGCAATAGGAACCCTGCAGCCGAGCAGGAAATGGGGCCCAGGACTCCCAGCCCCCTGCTCTAACCTCGTGAGGAAGGGGAATGTTCTGTAATTTTCCATATGCCTGCACATGCCTCGGTTTCCCTCCATGCAATGACAGTGGGTGCAGAAGAGGCCAAGCAGGAGCCATGTGTCACTAGTTGCCTGGGGTGGAAGGAATGAGGCACCACAGGACTGGCTGAAACTGACCCATGTCAACAAAGCACACACTGGAGGGCTGCCTGGCTTGGTGTAATACACAAGCACACACTGGAAGGGTGACTGGCTTGGTGTAATACACAAGCACACGCTGGAAGGGTGACTGGCTCTAATACACAAGCACATGCTTTTTCCTTAGTCCAAAAGACTAGATTGAGTGTATGCCCTGCCACACGCATGGGGGCAGTTTCTTGGGATAGTCTTAAGGTGGTCATGGTGGCCATCAAGTCTCGAGCCAGACCAGACAGGACTCTGGTGAATATTAAAGTCCCCCAAGACCAAAGGCCTTGGGGTCCTCAACGCCACATCCGAGACCACCTCGGCTTGAGCAGAGCATCTGTCATGCAGTGAGGCGGGCCGTACACCAGCAGAACACCCAACCTATCCCGGCCACCCAACACCAGGTACAAACACTCAAATCTAGCACCTCTTGGACCAGGGCCCTGGCCAGTGAGATGGTCTCCTGAAAGACAGTTGCCCCCCCACCTTCCCCCCCTGCCCAACTGTCAAGTCCAGGCTGTTGCTGGACCAAGAACCCAGATGGGCAGAACTGGGATAGGTTAACACCTCCCTCCCTTCCCAGCCAGATCTCAGGGATACAGGCCAGGTTGGCCCCTGCATCCAGGAGTGAATCTTGCCTGCTAGCTTTGTTGCGGGATACCAACCTGCCATTCAATAGCACCGTCACCTACGGCCAGTTATTAAAGTTCCCAAGATCATTGAGGCTGGGGACAGGACGGGAACAAGGGCTAGGCCATAACTGTCTAAACCTCATTCCCCTCTGCATACGGGCTAATCGCAGCAAACTCAACAAACTGAGAAGAAGCAAAAGAAGACAAGGAATCATTAGCCCTGAGCATAGAATAGGACCCCTGGGGTATGTCTACACAGCAACGTTATTTCAAAATAACTTTACAAGTGTCTACACAGCCAAACCACTATTCAAAATTAATTTGAAATAGCGGAGTGTTTATTTCAAATTTGGTAGACCTCATTCCACGAGGAATAACGACAAATTCAAAATAGCTGTTTTGAAATAAGGGTATGTCTACACTACAGCACTAATTCGAACTAACTTAATTTGAATTTCGAACTAAGCTAATTCAAACTAGTGCATCTAGACCTAAAAACTCCCCATTCCTCCCTCACCTCCTTCCACTTACCCCTCCCTAGCCCCCCTTCCTCATGTACAAAATAAAGGACACGTGTTCAAAAACAGAAACTCTCTTTATTTAACAAAACTGGGGGTGGGGGCAGATTAACCTCTGGGGAGACTGGGAAAAGGAAGTGGGAGAGGGGAAGAGAGAAGGTGGGAAAGGGGAGGGGGAAACCTGGGAGGAGGGAGCTGGAAGGGAGAAGCCAGGGGAAGAAGGAGGAGGGGAAGTATCAAACTATGGTACGCTGTATTTTCAGCACTGTGTACAGATGTGATCTCCTCACCCCAGAAAAGATATTTTGGCCTTGGAAAGGGTTCCGAAAAGGGCAACTAAAATGATCAGGGGTTTGGAACAGGTCCCATATGAAGAGAGGCTAAAGAGACTGGGACTTTTCAGCTTAGAAAAGAGGAGACTGAGGGGGGATATGATAGAGGTCTATAAAAGCATGAATGGTGTGGAGAGGGTGCATAAAGAAAAGTTCTTCATTGGTTCCCATAATATAAGGACTAGAGGACACCAAATGAAATTGATGGGTAGCAGGCTTCAAACTAATAAGCAAAAGTTCTTCTTCACACAGCACATAGTCAACCTGTGGAACTCCTTGCCACAGGAGGCTGTGAAGGCTAGAACTATGAGGGTATGTCTACACTACCCTCCTAATTCGAAATAGGAGGGTAATGTAGGCATACCGCAATTACAAATGAAGCCCGGGATTTGAATTTCTCGGGCTTCATTTGCATAAAGCCGGCCGGCGCCATTTTTAAATGCCGGCAGTTCGAACCCCTTGCC